AATATTGTATGATTTTTGACAAATTCCACATCCGGTAGGTAAAATTAATAGCTCATGAAGCAGATGCTTGGCTCGCAAGAGAAGTTATTGGGATTGTGTAATACTTGTACAGTGACACTGGTATAGCTCCCGTATCGTACTGTGAATACGTGTAGACTACTGAGGACAGAGTGAATAGAATAGTATGTAGGGTTTGTAAAGTGTGTAAACCCATAACAGTGTTATAATTAATTATAGCCAAGACTTGTAGGTTGTTAAATAAACCAATTAACAATCTAAACGGTGTCATCAGTAACAAAACACGTTACAATATTATAACTGTATATTTTTGTAATTCTTTGTGAGGTTAGAGTCATTTAAGACTGACAGGAGAATACTGTTGCTGTCATCATTAATTATTTATACTTACTTATGTGCATTTTAAATGTTCCAGGCACGGATAATGTCCGTTCGTCTCCTCCTCCCCACTTTGCTGCATCTTCTGTGTTGGAACTGGAACGCATGTTGAGCCGTGAACTTCTGTGGACGGAAGCAAAAGATGTGTGGTGTGTGAACTTAGAGCCTGTGTGGGGTGATTTCTTTGGGGCATCTGCTGTTGGGAGTACTCGCCCTGTTCCATTTCTTGATGCCTTTCCTCTCACACTGTGGATCTATATCAAAATGCCTTTACCTTCTTCCCTGAATGGTGCTATTTCTACACTGAGGAAAGATCATCGTTCCATTCCTTCATCACACAACATTCCTCCAACTCAGTCTTCTGTAAGTTCTTCCCTAAGCAGTAGTAGCATTCGGACAGCTGTTAGAGTAGGTGTTGATAAAACTGGAATATACCATCAGGGTTTTGAAGCTAGTGAAATAAGTAGTGATGTTACCAATGGAAGAAAAACAGATTGTTCGTCTTTCAATCATATTGCCTCACGGGGCTTCCAGGATGTTTCCAAAGTAAATGTGATAACACAGCCAACATCTGATACCTCAAGAACTTGTGCTGGGAATCAAGAGAATGTGAAGACTGCAGACATACATATGTTGGCCTATGTATCAAACCTGGTCAGCATTCAGATTAATCACTATCAATTCCTGTTCCTATTGCGGCTATCAGAGGAGGCTGCAGAACTGGCAACATTCCTAGCATTGGATTCAAATCGTATCTTGAAGCAAGAACTTGGCGGTTCACTAGTCATGGGTGCATTAATACCACAGGTGAGACTGCATGTGTAACTGGAAACATGCAAGCACCTATAGTTTTACATTCATTTAGTTAACCTGTCCATGTAGTGCACCACAGAATTCCTTACAGACACGTTTTCTGCGTATCTTATATGTTAGTGAGATCCAGGATAGCTTTGTCAGTACGGCACTGGGCTGTGGGCTAGATGACCGGCGTTCAAATCGTGGCAGGGACAGATTTTCTCTTCTTTGTAATGTCCAGACTGGTTCTGGGGCCCAACCAGCCTTCTGTCAAATGGGCATGGGTGCCAATTTCCCCAGGGGTAAAGTGGTTGGGGTGTGAAGCTGACCACTCACCTCCATTTAGTGCAGAGGTCAAGAAGAATGGATCTATACCTCCACTCCCCAGTATATCTCCATGTCATAGTGCTTAATTAATTAAGCACAGGGACAACATTACCTTTTATCTTGCTTGTCAATCTGTGATTCTTTGATTTTTTTATGTAGAGTACTGTCTTCTGGGTTGTGACTCAGTATAGTCTGCTAGAGATTTATTGCTGTTATGGTGGATTAGTTTGAAGTTATAGCAGCATAAAAGAAACTTGACACACATTCACAAATTCTACAGACACATATTTGAAATACATGTCAAAAAGTTAAGAACTCTGCCAGAAATAAAACATGCAACCATCCAACTGCTAGGAAAGCCAATAATGAATTTTCAGCCATAAAATCTGAAATCAGGATGTACTTTAAGGTACCCTGAAAGAATGGAGCCATTACAGTTCCATGCAAGACTGGTCTGGAGATCTTTATTGTCTGCATCATGTTGTGTGTCATAGTGTGGTTTGTTTTCACCATCAACACAACAGATTTTCAAATAAACCAATTCAGTTTGCTTTTATTTAGTGTCTGCCACGTTTCGATCCATGTTTGGGACATCATTAGGCAGTGTTATTGAATTGTCCTTGATTTATATATCTTGTCATAACACATGTTGGTAGTTTTGATATTATAATTAATCCTTAGGGCTAAAATTGTTTAAATTATTGTTTGTGTCTCATTGATATCATGTGGGTTTCTGTGATGCTTCTCGTACATTAGAGGGTGATTTTGTCTTCTGAGATTCGTTGTAAATGACATTGGCTATCTTGAGTGATATTCTTTGTGGTTTTCCTCAGAACTTCCAGGCAAATTCCAGGATATTATGTCAATTAGGTCACTACCACTTCATTCCAAATCTTTAGCAGTTCATCGTTCATCTATCATTTTATCATTTGTTGCTATATAGTTAAGTTACAGTGTATTGCTTCCATTTGAGCAAGCAAACAAGCAAGCAGAGTGAAGTAAAGATATGAAGGTAATGTTGTCCCTGTGTTTAATCAAATAAGTACTATGCTATGAAGCCATATGGGAGTGGAGGTATAGTTCCACCATTTTTTTACTTTGGAACTACCTGGAGTTGAGTGGGCAGCTTAATGTCCTGGTCGCTTTACCCCCAGGGAAAGAGTCTCATGTACCCATTGTATAGGAGGCTGGGTGGGCCTCAGAGCCAGTCTAGATACTGTGGAGTAGAGAAAAATCTCTTCCCTCGGTCAGAAATTGAACCCCTGGCATCCAGCCCATTTCTCTGCCCACTGAGCTATCTGAATATATGTCTCTTAGGAATTCTTTATGCTTATATTACTGATGCCACTGAAGAAACTTACTCTGTAACAAGTCAGTTGCTACACTGGGGATGAAGCCACGAACTTAAAGACTGAGGACATGCCTGGTCAGGGCTATCATACCTGTACATCTGAACAGACAATGAAAAATAAGTGTGCAGCAATGTTTGAATGATAATGAGCAGGGAAGAAGTGCAGAAACTTGGAGGAAAATCTGCTCTAGTGCCACTTTGTCCACTACAGGTCTCATATGAAATCATCCAGAATTTGTGGTGCTTACAGTGTGTTCTGTGTATCACAATATTTCTGCTTAGAGTTCAAACCTTTCAGGTTGCATGGACTACTACTCATGTATATACAGGGGGGTACAAAAAAATGTACTCTTTGATAGTCAATATCTTTGGAACAAAATGACATGTAGTTACAATTCTTGCATGGTAGTGTAGTGTAATGTTTTCTCAACAGATGGCGAAAGTCACATGAGTGTTATGCCATGTGTGTGCTGCGAGCAGAAGACACCAGCAACAATGGCTGAAAGGTTCTTTGAGCAACACAAGGCTGTATTGAAGTGATACTGGAAGTACGAAAACATTAAAGAGGTTCAATGACAATGGCAGAATGAGTTTGGAACTCAGCCACGAACATGTCGAACAACTGCCTATATTTGGGATAAATTTGATGCCAACAATACTGTTCATGATGTGCATAAGCAAAGATCTGGGTGACCACGGATAGTAGCAAGTCCAGCATCCAGTGCTGTGGTGTTGCAACACTGGTCAGGTGTATCTTGATATGCTTGAGACATCGATTTTCCCTGCCATTCAAGAGCTGTTTCGAGATAAGAGATTTTACCTACAACAAGCTGGTGCTCCACCTCACTACCATCGAGATGTCAGGGCGTACTTGGATGACACTCTACCTGGATGATGGATAGGTTGAAGAGGTGCTCCAGACCTAACACCTCTCGACTTCTACCTATGGGGAACCTGGAAGGATGAAGTTTATCGACAAAAGCCAGCTACACTGAACGAGCTACGAGAAACCATCGAAGTGTCGTGTGCAGCCATCACACTGGACACACTGACAGCCGTAGTTCGCTCAATAGTTCGGCAGCATCAATGCTGTTTAGCCGCTGATGGTGGTCACTTCGAACACATACAGTGACTCTCTCTCTCTCTCTCTCTCTCTCAGCGCAAGAATTGTAACTACATGTCATTTTGTTCCAAAGATACTGACTATCAAATAGTGAGTACATTTTTTTGGGACCCTCTGTATGTATAGATGTATGTCATACCACATGGCAGTATGAGTAGCTGTGGTGTTCTTCCCAAAGAGAACTACTCAGAATGATGACCTATATAACAACAGTTCAAATATAGGTATTGTAATTGATTAACTGGAAACTCAGTTAAGATATTTATTTCAAATAAGTGAAAAATATGCATAATTTGGACTTAAATTTGGATCATAATTAAATACAGATCGAAATGGGATTTATGACAGATTGTAACATAATAGGCAGAACTGGATGGACCAATCATGGATCTGTCTTTTAAGGATATATTTTAATTTGAGATATTATGATTGTTTAATCATTATAGGGGTTTATATTAGTTGGAAGTATATTTCTTTGTAGAATTCATGGATGTGTGTCAGGTTTCTTTTATATTGTTATAACTTAAAACAAATCTTTCTGTATATCCAAAAGAGTTTTATAATGGTGAGTGAAGACTTTGAAATTATGCAGTTTTGGGTTACCATAACAACAAATTATCAAGTGTTAACACTTCACATGAATGTAAGTTACGTCTTTTTGTGTGCTGTGTTTATTATTTGAGTACTGATAATATTTTTATGTGGATATGTGAAGTATATTTTATATTTACCACGGAATGTGACTTTGTTTATGAAATCTGTAATCTTTCATTTCCCTTTGAAAGCAGTCTGTATACACCAGTTCAGTAAAATCATATCAAGAGCTCTAATCAGAAACCAAAAGGATAACCCAATTTGACACTTCATAGGTCTGTGTAGGGAACATGATGGCAGTGTACCCATACAACTGCTTGAATTCACATCTCATTAATAACACATGACATATTCACATAAACTCTGTCCATCTAGGTCTCCTGTTAATTTAAGGCATGGTCAGGAGCAAAATAATACAGTTAAATTCCCAATTTACATGATAAATTCATTCCAAAGGTTCCTATGTCAGTTTAAAACTATGTAAGCCCAGTAGTGCTTAAATACAGTATTTTTTGACATGTATGTTTGTATCAATGGATAGTTGAAGCTAGAAAAGTATGTAAAATAAAAAGGTGTCATAACATACCATATTATGATATATTATTATGTGTAAACCCTGTTTATTTGGTGCTAATGACCCTAAAAGTCGAAGTCAGGATGTAGTATTTTCTGTAATTAGTTATAAATTTTGAATTCTATGCTTATTCTTCTGTATTTAAAATAGTTGTTTCATTACAGTTCACATGTTTGTATGAATTCCTTTCATTCACTACAGCTAGTATTATATGTCTGTGTTGTGTGTTTCAGTTAGAAGCGACTTTTGTAATGCCTTCACAGTCTCCCGGCAAGGAGTGTTCAGGTGGGGATCTGGAGTCCGTCCTGCCAGATTCCGCAAGCATTCCAGAGGAGCTCATGGGTGTCAACAACAATTTGGCTGCTAGTAGTATTAGTGTTCTGCAAAGTGGGGTAGGGGGAGGCAAAAGGGTGACTGTGGGAGGAGTGAGTACACCAGTGAGTGAACTTTCATCTTTGTCAATGGACTTCCCACCCCATGAAGTTACATGTTCCACAGTTACAGCCACTACCAACATTACTGCTTCCACCACAGCCAATATCGGTTATACGAAACCGGCTGCAAATGGGCCCCACCCTGTCACTGCCTTTCCCAACATCAGTATTCCAAATAATCTGAATGCAGGGATAAGCTCCATGAAAAAGGGGTTCAGCAGTCTCATGACTTCGATAGATTCAGCACTGAAACCGAGTCCAGATGATGCCAGCGACACGGTTTCTCTGAGAAGTGATGCATCATCAGATAGTGAGAATTATGTCGTTGTGAACATGGGTGGAGATTCGGGTGCAGCAGATAAGCTTGTGTTCGAATGCATGGATGCCATGTTCAGAGTTGATCCTAGTAGCAGTCATGGAGAGACACCTCTGCCTCAGCAGTTAGAGGTTGCAAGTGAGGTAGTGCCTGAGGAAGAAGATGCAACAGCTACCACCACAACACCCAGTGAACATTCAGTTGATAGTTCTTGCAAGAGAAAGGACCTTGTAAGTGGATTCTTATATTAATACTTACTTATTTGCCTTAGGAGGAGGAAATGATTGTCATGTATAAGAAATATTGAGGAATATTAAGTACTTTCAAACAAAATTGTAATATGTGTTGAATTCTAAGTTTAACTGGGAGGTGAATTTGATAAATCACCACTTCTACTATCAGATATACGAGGGACAGTCAAAAAGTTCCCAGAATGGTGGTATCGCACTCTAATGGTAGGACGTACGGCAATGCTTACCTAATCACCTTCAAAGTAGGACCCTTGCTCGTACACACACTTGCTCCATCGATCCTGCCACTGTTGGAAGCAGCGGTGGAAGGCTTCTTTTGGAATCTTCTGGATCTTAGCCGTCGCATTCAGTTTGATGCCCTCCATGGTTGCAAAAGTGTCCTCTTGAGGCCCATTTTCAGAGTAGGGAACAGCCAAAAGTCACTTGGAGTGAGATCCGGTGAGTACGATGGTTGAATGATGACAGGAATGTTTTTCTCGGCGAGGAATTGCGGCACAACAAGCGATGTGTGGCTTGGTGCGTTATCGTGCTGCAGAAACCACTGTCCCTGCCACTTGTCGTGCTGCTTCCTCCGAACTGCATCGCACAACCTCTGCAAAACTTGCATGTAGAAATGGCCAGTAACAGTCTGTCCAGGCGGTATGAACTCATGGTGCACCAAACCGTCGATGTCAAAGAATGCAATGAGCATCACTTTGTCTTTGAATCTGATGAGGCATGATTTTTTTGCCCGGGAGACGACGCTGTGTGCCACTCCAATGACTGCATCTTCATCTCTGGGTTGTAGGCAAACCCCAATGACTCATCACCAGTGACGATCTTTTTGAGAAACATTGGGTCCTCCGTACTTTTGTCAAACAGATCGCCAGCGACCATCATGTGACATTCCATCTGATCCGTGGTCAGCTGCCTCGGAACAAACTTCGCACTGATGCATCTCATCTTCAAATCATCGGACAAAATCGCATGATTGGATCTGTGACAGATACCAACTTCTTGCACCAACTCCACGATGGTTATTCTTCGATCACATCGAATCAGTTATCGCACTTTTCCAATCATTTCTTCAGTTCTGGAAGTCGAAGGTCTCCCGCTGTGCTGGTCATCTTCTAACATCTCCTGCCCATTCTTAAACCGGGAAAACCAGTCATAAACTGCGGATTTCTTTAGTGCAGTATCACTGTAAACTTTCTGCAGGGCCAATTGCGTCTCTGAAGATGCACTTTGCACATGAACTTGATGTTCACGCGCTGTTCAAACTACGACATTGCGCTGAATGACCAACACTCACGTCTAATTCAAATGGAACAGTAACAACACGGCACACTGAAACCTGTCCAGACCTGTTGCATCTGTGAGCACACATGCTGAGCTCCCCACCACAACAGTGTGTGAGCTATCTTATCACTCGTTCTCCGTCTGCAAGGGAATTCCAGGAACTTTTAGACTGTCCTGTATATGTAGAACCAAATAGTGATGCACAGGGAAAGTTGGCTCAGGCAGTAAAACTTCTGCCTTGTATCTGGGAAGTGACAGCTTGAATCTCATTTGGGATTCTGACTAAACTGACTCCAGCTTTCATGGTTTTCCTCAGTTTAACCAAGCAAATAATGAGGTAGTACCTTTAAGTAGGCCATGACCACTTCATTCTGTATATTTTCCACTATCATTGATCATTGTTCCAGTCAACCTCATGTAGTCTGAGATACTGACAGCATTCTTGAAGAAACTGTAAGTGAAAATAAGTAAATCTGAATGCACTAAAGTAAGAGACACTGAAGATGGTCCATTTGGACTGAAACACATTTGTTAATAATGTATGAAAATTAAATATTTTGTAATCAAAGCTGTTATGTGGTAATAGTGATGTAATATTGTAAAGTTGCACAATGTGGAAGGTCACGACACTATTACAGCCATGAAAGCCATGCTGTTGTAGTCAGGATTACTGAGCTTCTGGGCTTTGTCTATCATCTGGTATTCTAAATTACACCTTTTGGAAACTGTATCTGTTTTCCGTCCTCAATTGATGGGGTGGGAGACACTGACTATTGAGTCTGTTAGAAAAGCCATGCTGTTGTAGTCAGGATTACTGAGCTTCTGGGCTTTGTCTATCATCTGGTATTCTAAATTACACCTTTTGGAAACTGGATCTGTTTTCTGTCCTCAATTGATGGGGTGGGAGACACTGACTATTGAGTCTGTTAGAAACAGCTAACCTCAATCACTGGACCCAACTTTTTCTGAGAGACTTAGAAGATTAGATGTCTCCCACTCCCTCATCTGAGGATTGAAACAGATCCAATTTTTGAATCAGTGTGTTTTTTAGAATACTTGGCAGTGAACGAAGTCCAAAAAACCCTGTAATCCTGAGTGTCCTACACCATCATCAGAACCCTTTAGAATTTACATTCTATCATAATGTTTACATGTGATTAAACTATACCACATCCATAGAATAATGGCTCAGTAACAACATACAGCTTAAATTTTAGTTACGAAGTAAGTTTTGTTGCTTTTGTGTTCTCTAACAATAGGTGTCCATGACCACTTTCAAACTGGGGAAAGTGGAATTCGTTCAGCAGTCACAAGGATTTTCTTCTGCTATAAAGGTGCAGGTGTCAAGTCTCACATCTGAGGAATGTGGGGCTATTCCTTGGGATGAGTTTCAGGTATTGTCATCCAATATTTTCTTGCTCGGAGGTAACTGTTTCTCATGCATATGCACTTTTTTATGTTGAGAGGATGTGATGCTTTTCTTATGTAATGATTGGAACTAAGTTGACAGCAAAGGAGGTAGTTGATATAGCACAGAAGTTACACTGTACTTAATTTTTAAACTTTTAAAAATATCTCATAAAACAATAAGAGGGTTGACTTTGAGGTTAGTATATCAGTGACCATGAAGAGTACTTTCTTCTAGGATATGATGGCATGTACCGCAGTTAAAGCTCACCATTCTTTTGGAGGAATATGCTGCCTCCATCTTTAGGGTTAAAGAGGAAGCCAAGCAAGCAGCAAACTTTTTGACTTTAAGGATGGGGCCAGTATGTGCTTCTGAAACACTATTGAACTTTTGCCATACTGCATGGCGTTACAACCCAGAAGATGATGCTTTTTAAGAATAAGAGTATTTGACAAAACATTACATAATTTGATAATATGTCAACACCAATACACTGTACATAAGGTGGAATCTTGATTTATTGACTTTGGACTTAATTTTATACATATTCAGCACATGATTTTAAGAGTCACGATTTTACTACCATTACATAATAATAGTATGCACTTATGTGTATTATTTCATATTTTTCCATTCTGCTGGAGTATCATTCTTTTTAATGATTGATGATTTAGCTTGATTTTTTCCTAGTATAGTTTCTGTTTTGGGCCAATGTAACAAAAAGTCTTCAGTCTATTCTTCCCATGTACAATCCTTCATTTTTTATTTTTTGCAAGCTCTTATCTCACTTCTTGCTCTCTTCCAATACATCATTGAATTATCTCGTTGTGCTTTATTCCATAGGCCTTTTTCCTTTAAATTCTAATTTTAATGACCTTTTTAGTTTTGCATTTCTTACATGGCCATTCTGTTATGATAACTTCTGTTGTAACTGTGTTAGAAAAATTTGAACTCTGTATCTGTAAGAATTTGATTTCAAATCTGTCCTGTCTTGTTTTGCCCTCAATACTTGTCAGAAATTTCATGTCCATTGCTTGGATTTGGCTTTTGTTTCTCTATGTAGGGGTCCATGTTTCAGCATTATATGTTAGTAAAATGATTTATAGTTTTTGCAAGACCATGTGACGATCAGTATTCCTTCTCCTGAATCTTTTGTGAATTGGATATTACAAGATATTATGACTGATGAAAGAAGATATAAATATATAAAAACATTCCCTTTTTATTGAGTGCAAAGTTATGTTTCAGCATAAGTTTTAGTTGGTGTGGTGTTGGTTAATTGTGCTCTATCATTTTGTGGGTATTATAGAAGCCTAGCTCACTTGTTTTCCTCAGAGAGCCAGAATATTAATAGCAAACTGAAATTGGTGGAAGCATATTTTGTTTCAGTAAACTGATGACTGTAAAGGGAGAGGATTTTGCAAAAGTGCTTCTTGCCTTTGGCATAAATGGTGATAAAAAGTGTAAAGCTATCCCTGTAACAGGCTATGGAGGCCTGTAGGGTTATGAGACTTTGAGGCTCCCACATTTTCTAGACACTCAGCTCACATGTGATGGTGAGGTTGTCAGGCTTATGTGCTGGCTGCCCTTTACTGCCATCAAGATTCCTGGTACTCAGTTCTGTTAGAGGCTGCGTCGATCTCAGGGCAGTAATACGGCTGGAAGGATCAGGTAAATTGAAAAATTCAGTGACATTATCGGTAGTCGAACCTGCAACCTTCTGGCTTGTGGCATAATACCCCAACCAACTACACTGCTGTGTGCCCAGTATAAATGGTGATTGAATGCTTAAAATATGCACAGTTCATGCAGCTGATCTTAATTATTCTACGATTGCTATGAACTGAAATTTTATATTAATGCATTTAACTTCTTACAGCACAGTGTAACAAAACTGGAATCAACATCTCTGAAATAAAAGTGGGTTAGCATGGAGTGAATTATTTGTGCCAGTTAGCACCATCTAGTACAACTATGGATTGTTATGTTTCATTTATGTTGTGGTGTCATTAGCTTTTATATAAAGTCAGTATACTTTCTTGGTTTAATTTATAAGTAATGTATTAGAATCACAATATAGTATGAAAATTTTATCATATCTTCATTATCCACAAAAATGGTAAAAGATATCCCTGTAACAGGCCATGGAGGCCCAGAGGGTTGTGAAATGTTGAGGGTCCCACATTATCTAGACACTCAGCTCACAGATGGTGGTAAGGTTGTCAGCCTTATGTGCCGACCGCCCTTTACCCCCCCCAGGAAGATTCCTGGTACTCATTTCTGCTAGAAGCTTAGTCAACCCCAGGGCCATAGTGCAGCTGGAAGGATTAGGTCAATTGAAAAAAATCCACCTCATCAGGACTGGAACCCACAACCTTCATGCTTGTAACATAAGTGTCTCAACCACTACGCTACCATGTGCACAAAAATGATAAATTATGTTACTTAAAACAGCACAATATGTTAACAACAGCTTTCATCCAAGTTCACAGAAATCTAATTCAGATGTCTTTAACTGAATATTTTAAACAGTTTGGATTTTAATCAAATTATATTTGCATTGTAACAACTGAGAAATTATATAACATTTCGTGTATTTTGGATTTGAGGTTTTCATGGAAGTGACAGTAAAGAGTAGTGACTTTTGGAACATAATGCACTGGAGTCTGGTAGAAGTTTTCTTATGTTTTGGAGGAAGTTATTGCTTCCATCTTCAGGTTGAAGAGTAAGATGAGCAAGCAAACAAGAGAAAAAACACTTTGCTTGTTTGGCTTATTTTTCAACCCAAATATGGAGGCAGTACATTCCTCCAAAACATTGGTAAACTTCTACTAGACTAAATGACACCATACCCCAAATGAGAGTACATTTCACTTCTCATATTTCTTATACTTACGTTCCCACAACCAGGCATTAATGCCTATTATCAGATTTCAAATTTGAATCATGTCCTTTTTGAGATCCTTCTAGCACATCAGCATTGATTTCAGTTCATGGGTTGGAAGAAGTAGTGGTGTATATATAGGTCTTAAGAAGTGAGGTGGTTAAAGGAGAGAATGGTGGATGACTAATAGATTCTCATAGATACTGGCCAGTGGTCTGAGATCACTACTTCTCTTCTCTCCTCATTCTGAACTCTGGGATCCAGTTTCTAGGACTGTGCATTAAGTAATCAATTACTCTCTCCCTACCACTCTTCTTGAGAGCGAGGTGTCCCAGAATAATGTTACGACATTTTTGTGCTCATTTGTCCTTTATTATTAGCATGTTAATAGTTAAAAACTACAATAAGGAACAAAACATGTTAGTACAGATATTACACCAAGCTGTTCTTGTTGGAGATGTTGAAAAGGTCCACTATAGCATTGAAACAGAGCTGAAAAGATGAACAGAGGAAGTGCAGTGTGGTAACATTATTTTGGGACACACTCTGTATACAACTGTGTTTCTTTTCTCTATCCATGACATCCAACCTGAGAATGGCAACTGAAATGTTTGCTAAAACATTGAAAGGACATTTTTGAAACAGCATGGCTCAGAGTAATAAAATATATTGATTTCTCTTGTTTTGATGTGTCATTTAAATACATTTTTGAAAGTGGCCCTGAGAAAGAAAATTAGCACTGCAGCTATGGAGTTTATTTGATGGCACTAATATCTAGTTAGTAGGCCTTGTGTGAGCTGAATTAATTTCAGTTCAGTTCAGTTCAGTTTATTGTAATATTCCATCAATCAAGAACAGGCTACAAATGTCTCCAGTCTGATACAGAACCAGTCACAGATATACAAGACACCAAATACTCAAAGAATATACTACGCATGCTTTGAATATTAAAGGGTTAGTCATACAATTACAAATCAAAACAACTCAACATAATACATTATGAATGGGAAAATAAATCAGTCAATAAATACTAATGTTTACGATTAACAAAATGCTAACAGGCTGGAACTAAAAACGTGGGGAATTTGATTGGCTGTGGCAGATGGGTGCTACCTAGTTTTTTGTACTTGTGCTGTTTTACCTCCCTCATGTCAACTTAGTTCTGGTCCATCTTTTCACTTTATTATTTTAGCATTTATCAACTTCTATTGTAACATATTTTCTCAATATGTATTTTTTTTTTCAATTTGGTGTAAGATACGTGATCATATGATAATTACTCTTTAACAGCAGTTCTTTCAAACCTGTAGATACAGTTACATTTACTGTTCTATATCATACTTGCCATCACATATTTGCCAATTCATTTTTATGTAAAAAATAGTCAAGCTGAGTAGAGGTACTGACAAGCAGATAGAGAACAAGAAGACATTTCGTTTAACTGCAAGAAAAACAGAATTTGTTTGTAGTTCTGCTACAGAAATTATACTGTTTTTAAGTGATTGTAGTTATATAAGGAGGCATGCGGTAGCATAGTTGGTTGAAGCACTGTGCTACACACTGGACAGTCATGGGTTAGATTCCTGATGAGGTCACTGGATTTTTCAGTTGATCTAATCCTTCCACCTGCACTGTCTCTGGCGTTGACTCAGCCTCTGACAGAAATGAGTACCAGGAATCTTCTTGGTGGTAAAAGGTGGCTGGTGCATAAGGCTGACAACCTCACCGTCATCTGTGAGCTGATTGTGTAGAAAATGTGGGAGCCTCGATATGTTACAACCCTATGGGCCTCCGTGGCCTGTTATAGGGATAGCTTTACTATTTTTTTCTTTACCTGTAGTTTTGCAAGCATGAGTGTGGTGAATATCTGTGTTTGTAATCTGCTTGTTAAAATTATGCAGTTTGTCCAAGAATACATAACCTTATTTCTCATAGAGGGATTAACTTCCTTACTCTGTAATCCACTGAGTAATAGGTCAGAGATGAAGCTCCAAACTTAAAGACTCTGCTGCCTCGTCAGGGGTATCATACACATCGGGTTGTGATAGATGAGTACAGAGCAATGGTTGAATGGTAATTAGCAGGGGAAATCCTGCTCCATGGCTGCTTTGTTCACCCTGAATCTTATACAAAGTCACCTGGGATTGAAACCTCCATGGTGAGAACTCAAAGCCTAGCTTCCTGAGCTGTGGCTCAGCTGAAAGGATAATTTATCTTAAATAGAGAAAACCTTCCAGTAAATGCATTTGTTGATCATTGGCTGTATGCATCCTCAAAATGAAATCCCAGAGGTTAATAATGGCCGTAGGAATAAAGCAAAATCTTTTACTTGTTTGGAGGAGGTTTTGTCCACAGTAAGAAGTGAAGGCTTGGAATAGTTGGTTTCTGTTATCATTTTTATGCCACTGTCATTCAGTATAAGAACACCAATGTGAAATTTATATATATATTCATGATTACTTTTCAGTCAGTTGATGGTCTCATGATTTGTATTTCTTGTGAGGAAGGTATAAGCTGCATTTTTAGGGTGACATTTGAGCTCACTTTGTTAAATGTGTTTTTATGTATTGAGACAAGACTGATACATTTTATACCATATCCTTAAATACTGAATATGCTGGGATAACTCAAGTTGGTAGTAACAGGACTGCTAACTAAATGACAGCAGAATTGGGATTTGATTTCCAGTAGCAGCAGAGATTTTTCTCTTATGTAGTATCTGGCTCTGGGACCCATCGACTGTACTATCCCGTGGGTACCAGCTTTCTTTCCCTGGGGCTAAAGCTGTCAGGATGGGAAGTTGGCCATGCATCTGCATCTAATTCCATGGTTAAGAATGTGTAGAACTATATCTCGACTCCCCCATGTGACTTACGTCATTCATAATTAAGTACAGGGATAACTTTAACTTTTTACTGTATTGTAATGGTAATTTAAGGCTAGCTAAGATTTTTTTGGGTTCTAAGACTAAACTGCTGAGAATAGTAATTTAATTTTATGTGAGACATCAGTAATTTTATCATTTAAAGTAAGAAATTTTAATCTGATGTGAAGAAAGATGACATAGTTGTAAATCATACATATTTGTTATACACAAGTAATATAAAAAGTTGAGAAAAGTTCATATGTAGGGGTATCTGTAAAAATGTACATTACTACAGCTTCCTTGATTCTTAAAAGGTGTACTTTTCACTGAGGGAGAGAGTGCGTGTGTGCACATGTGTGTGCATGTAAAAATGATGCACTTATTCATGGATGTTTATGAGTATATCTTGTTTACCTGGACACAGTGTACATTTTCGTGTACTCATATATTCTTTAGCTACAAATACAGATTATTTGCAGGATTTTCAACCTGACTGTTTTCCTTGAATGTATTACCTTGTAATTAGTAGACCCAGTTTATCCAATACATTTGCCATCCATAGAGAGACAAAGCATTACAGGTTTTCTGTTAACACTCTTGAGCATTCATTCTGCTCCCTCAGATGACAGTTAATTCCACTAGGCAGCAACAGGCTTTGGTGAAAATATCCAGGATTGCTAATCACTGTGTGATAAACACCTCTCTGATAAAGAGGAATATACTATTTATTGCCATTTTTACCAGCAATATGTAAGAACAGTAATCACTAGGTAAATGATGGTGACAGCACACTATTAGGCTCTTCATGAAAAACACATAAAACATTACCTAACAGTATGGCTGTTTGCTGCGTGCCTAGCATGTAGGTGATTCTGTTGCTTTTCAGTCTCTTTGGGATTTATATGTCAAGGTTATGTTGTTGCATTGATTTTATTATTGTATTAATGGGGATTTAATCCTTATCTCTAAGCTAGGGTTGGCAACACTTATAATTTCTTGTGCTAAATGAAAACATTGTGAAACTATATTAAAGTGATAATTACCCCACTTATAAATATCTTCTACAGTTAAAAAGCTTATTGAATTATTTAGTGATAAAAAGTGCAGAATATTATGTAGGCATTTGTTTTGATTCTATAGATGATGGTATTAATGATGATAAATATTCACCTCACCATCTTACTGTCAGTAATCATTAGCGTCACATATCTTTTCAGTGATTCATGGAGTAGAAATTTTTGTTTTTTATCACTCAGATCTTGGTTAAATTTCCATTTGTGAACTTACACACTGTACAGAGTAAATATGATATTTTTAAATGATGTTTACTACCTTCTTTTACCCAAGCAAACATAGATTGAACTTCAGTTTGCTTTACACTCTGATCAGTTTAAATGATTCACAATCGGTTTGTAAATAGTAACAGTTTTGAGATAGTTGTGCAATGATCTGTAAGATTGACACAACAAGTTTTTGAAAATTTTAACTTTCTTTCTCCCCCTCTGCCACAAACCATAATTTATAATAGCAAACACACCTGTAATTTAAGTGTGTTACTTTTCTCCTTATACAAGGTATACCAAAACAAATATGCAGCACTGATAGATTTTTCTGGCATACTATGAAACACAGGTTTCCACCTCACTGTGAGGAACAGTTAATGAGATGATCAGTTTTAATTATATAAATTAGTGTAAGGTGTACAATAATTATCTAGTATAATATGCACATTAATATTACCCAGTCCTTGATATGGAAAATGAGGGCAGAGTAAACTCAAAATGAGCATTCATACCTCATTGTTTTGGGCAGGTCTGTTTCTGTTAATGTCAGGCATTTTACTGGTTGTTCTCTCCAGTGTAAAAAAATGTGACAGTGTATAAGGGTCATAGGAAGGATGCATTAAAAAATACTACTATTAAATATTTGTTATTTATTGATTGTAAAAAAATATTTGTTTATAAATTAAAGAAAATAATTCTGCCTTGTATAATAAAATGACATAAAAATTACCAGGTTTCTAACATTTATCAGTACCTAATTTTCATATTTACTTCCCTTTGTATAAGAGGCATTAGTGTATAAGACACAATGTAATTTATAGGGCCGATTTGAAAGATGAAAACTGTGACTTATATAGCGGGAAATACAGTGTATGATATGTTATATGTATATATACTCACTATTGACATGACCTAATGAAAATAAGTGCTGCTGTTATATATTTCATTTTCTTTTGGTATATTTTGTATATCAAATTGTGTACTACATATTTTTCTCTGTACATTTTTTGCATGCCTTCTTCCTGCCTTCGGTCTCTTGTGAATGTTGTGTGTGGCACATTGGCAGGCCAGGGTCAAGGTATTGGCAGTTTCTCTTATCGATCTGCATGATAAGTCAACTGAGGTTGGAGTATGTGAATTTGCATGTGTGCCTGTCATTTGTGTTGTGTCAGCAGTTCTCATTTCAGACGTGACAGATGTCTGAAAGCTTATTATGCACTTTTTCTTGTATGATTGCACATACACCCACACATTCATAACATGCGATGCTACAGACAAAGGAAGTATTTTTATATTAAGAATATTTAGTCGTTAATTTAACACTGCTCAGTTTCTCAGACCATATAGCGTCAAAGGATTGGATGATAGTGAATAATGAATTTGAAAGAGTATAGAAGGAAGTGGCCATGGCTTGATTCAAGGCATTATTGTGGAATTTGCATTGAAGAACTGAAGAAGACCATGAAGTACTTCAGTCAGGATAGTCAGTGTCCTGACCAATGTTCAAACTACGCATCACTTGAGCATAAGTAGGAAACATTACCCCAGGACCAATTTGCTCAATCTTCTTAAGTATCACACCTTGGCTTTACACTCTAGATTTATCTAACTAAGCTATCACAGTGCTTCCTTTTATCATTGCTGTTATAACTACCTTTATCTTCATCACATCATAATCATCATTATTCCTATATCTTTCTTACTTTGGTCTTTCCTCTATTGATCTGAGATAGCACCTGTTCATTGTATATGGCTTATAAAAGCATGATCATGCTGCTTCTAACATGCACTTAAGTGTATCTAATGCACTTAAGTTGGTTATTGAAAGCAGTAACTAACTACTGTACCATTGCACTGTTTCCCAGGTCCTACTTGTTGTACATGAAATGTTATCGGCACTGAGGTTGGTGACCATTAACATTTTTCAAAGAAACAAACCTGAACATGATGCTTACAGCATTCACGTATTTATTTTTTGTGTACTCTTTGTCTGAGTATTGGTTTGCAAGCAGGGCCAATGCAAACCTGAATTTCACCTCTCCCCCACCAGTTAAAATCACATCAGTTTTCTCAAAACTTCATCAGTCAGTAACACAGACCTTTCAGACACCATGATGAAAACCAACATCTATATCTTAATTAATAAAATAATTGTTTTATTCATATTTTTACACGTTTAGGTAACTGCCAGTTGATGGTCAGGGTATGAACAAAAGGGCAGCAGAAATTTCTGTCCAAGAAAGAACAAAGAAATATTATTTGTAAAATGTGCTGCCAGTTTGCTCAGTTTGCCTGTGATGCATTGGTCATGTTTGCAAATTACCTGTGATAACATTTGGTCAATTATATGATTTACACTGTAACCTACATGTGTTGTAACTTATATATTTGTGACAGAAGTGTTAAACGCTATACATCAGCAGACTGATAATAAGGCTAGCTAAAATTTTTGGCCAATTTGAACATATGGAGTGGTTTTTGTGACCTGTGTTTGATTTGTGGCCACATTGTGTGTTGAACGTATTCTAGCATTTTGGCTCTGTGATCAGGGGGCAGCAGCAGTGTGTGCTGTAACTTTGCTGTGTTGAAACTGTTCCATAATTTCAGCACTTGGGTAAAGAGGGTGACTGCAATTTACACCAGAACACTGAAACATATTCAACACATGATATAACCAATCCCTGTGACCTCAAGTTACAAATCCAGTAGTTCTTTGAGCTTTAAGTGAAAAGCATTTGTAAGTATGCCTCAAAGCTTTCTTCTGTATCTGAATGGCTACCTATTGCATTAATTTGAATGTAGTATGATCGTCTGAGAGTTTCCTGAACTTTGTTGAACCAGACACTTCTCGCATCAGCTCAGTTTGGTGACATCCAGATTGCTGTCATAATTGACAAACCAAGAGCATATACACATTTCAGTTTCCCTTGAATATTGCACCAGTATATTGTTGAACAGTTACTGTGAAGAGAGCTTATGCATCATGTGCTGACTGACTGCAGTTCTGAGCTCCTCCTTGCTGTACTTAATTATTCACCTAGCCATATTATATCTTGTATTAAATGCCATGGGTGAGATACACATTGCAACAACAGTATTTATGTATGGTACTGTGTAAAAAAAGTAAAGAGAAGATTATGGCATAAGTTTAAGGATTTTACAGTTCCAAATTGAAAAACCATATCATCATAAATTAATTAAGGCAGCTAAAGTCATTATTGAACAAAAAGAAAAGCAAATTGAAACTCAGAGTATTTTTTTTTAATGCTAGTGGGGTGGGACCAAGTCCCTTGTACTGCGGCCACTTCTGGTCTATTGTACCAGCCCCAGATGATAGGTGAGGGTGATTGTGGAGCAGTTGGTGGAATGAAGGTTGGCAGGGGAAACCGAAGTACTCTGAGAAAACCTGCCCCAGCACCACTTTGTCCACCACAAATCCCACTTGACCAGACCCAGGATTGAACCCGGGCCACTGTGGTGGGAAGCCAGCAACTAACCGCTTGAGCTATGGCATGGCCAAACTCAGAGTAAATGTAAACTTTTTATGGAGGCACCAGGAATGCTTACAGAACAGTGGAGATCATTTCCACATCTGATGTAGTTTGGATAAGTTTTATTTGTTCTTGGTGTGTCGGAGCTGGGATAGCACAGTTGTTATATTCACTGGTTATGGGCTGGACAGCCAAGGAGTTGAAGTTCAAGTCCTGGTAGGGTCTAGAATTTTCGCTTCTCCATGTCAGCCAGACTGATTTGGGGGCCAGCCAGCCTCCTGTCCAATGGATAGTGGGGGCTCCTTGCCTGGGGTAAAGTGGCAGGGGCATGAAGCTGACCAGTCATCTCCAGCTACTACTGAAGTCAAGCATACATGGATCTATGCTTCTATTCCCTCATATGCTTTAATGTCTTAGTGCTTAATTAGTTAGGTGCAGGGACTATTTTACGTTACCTTGGTATATCGATTATGCTTGCAGTCCAAATCTGAGCAGCCTTAGCCAACACCAGCATTTGACTCTTTCACATTATTGGGTCATTGATTTCTGGGAAGTTCTCAGTGAATTATATCCAAGTTTTGGAAGTTTGAAAGACAGCATTATGTTTGGCAGTATTAATATGAAGTATACTTTATTTTTTATACATGAAAAACGTGGTAGGATAAGATGAAAACTGTCTCCTGGAATGTGATGCCATGTAGTCTGGTAGAAAATTACCAACATTTTAGAGGAACCTGCTGATTCCGTGTTCAGTCTAGGGGTCCTGTACCCTGAAGACAGAGCGTCAGGCTCCTTCAAAACATTTCATTTCTTCTGCAAACTACATAACATCACATCCCAGAAGATTATTATGTTGCTAATATATTCAGTAGAGTGAATATGGAGGTTTATTATGCTTAAAAGGAATCTCAGTTTTCCTCATAATCAGAGGAGGTTACGTTTTGCGGTGAAATATAATATTTATTTATAAACATTACTTACCTATGGTACGATGAATTTTATTGTATTTTATGAGCCACATGTAGCACGTACAGGCAAATACCTAGTAACACATGATGCACTTCTGTCCAGTAATAATATGTTTGAAGAATTTGTGCATTGTGACAACAGTTCAGTCTGCTTGTTTAGATTATTGATGTTGATTCCCATTCAACTCTTGATTATCCACTTTATTATATTGCTTGTATCACTCCTTAATTTTGAGTGGATATTTTTTTATTTGTAATTTATACAAGAACTGTTATTAGCAGCTGTGAAACTACCACGGATGCTTTCTTATGAGTACATGCTTTTTAAAGCATAGAGATTACATTCAAGCTGGTCCTCCAAGTAAGGAACAAGGGAGTATCCAAGCAGTAAATTGTAAATAGGCACAATATTGCATGGCTTTATAGAGCTTTGAGGTTAGATTTTATGTGCTAGAAGAAGTTGTAGCTTTGTAATGGAAAGTTAAAATAGTCGGTGTGCATGCTGTAGGTCCCACAATTTTCACTCGGTGACTCATGACTCAAATATGATCTCCTGCAATAATATCATAAATCTTTTTATGTATTTCCTTATTAAATGCTCATTAATCTACTTTAAAAACACAGTCAAATAATGAAATGATGCTAAGAGATCATACTTAGTGTCAGAATATTATGAACACAGAATGATTACATCAATTTCAAGATGGGAATTGCCATCTGTGCTGTACCTTCATATGATTTCTGGCAAAAATTAACAGGCAGTTTGTGAAATGACAAATGAGATGTAGAAATTACACATGCTGTTAATTTACATTATATATGGTGAACTATTTTGTACTGATACTAGATTTAAATTTACCAAATTTAATTAGCATCATATTTACAGTCCACAAATTAAAATTATAGGACTGTTTGAGGGCATGTCTTAAAAAGTTCAGATTTCAGGTTTTCATAACAGTTAAAATTAATTGTTGTCTTTTAGATAATGACCCTGTGTAGTTTTATAGATGGTTACCAATATTTTTCAATTGACCTAATCCTTCAAGCTGCACTATGGCCCTGGGGTCAACTCAGCCTCTAACAGAAATGAGTACCAGGACTATTCTTGGGGGTAAAGGGCGGCTGGCGCGTAGGGCTGACAGCCTTGCTGCCATCTATGAGCCGATTGTCTAGAAAATGTGGGAACCTCAACATCTCACAACCCTATGGGTCTCCACAGCCTGTTACAGGGATACCTTTACTTTACTTACTTTACCAACATTTTACAGTGACTTGTTGTCTCTATCTTCGAGGTAGGTCAATGCTCTGAAATATTGGTAACAACTCATGGAACTACATAGTGTCGTAGCATAGAAGACTACAATCCTAGTTCACATAAGTATATGTGGACGGTATCATGTAGTCATTAATACTGAAGCTTTTCTGTAGTATGTGTAAAGAATGTTCTAAACAATAATCAGAATTTGGAACCTGCAAATGTATCATATGTAGAACATGTGAGAATAGTAGGGATCTTTATATGTATTTTTAAAATTAATTCAACCGTATTAACAATGTATATTCTCAGCTACTGACAGCATAATTAAACAAAGCATAAATAAATGCACCTGTACATGTCAGTGGTTGCTATGATAACCTCAACATCATTCACTTAATATGGAAATTTTTTATGTTGAAAGCTGTTCATGTTGGATTTGAGTTCCTCACAGCAGTGACTTTGAACAGTTCTGTGACTGTAACTTGATGCTGAATAGTCTGGTAGATGTTCACTGTTATTTCAGAGGAATGTATTGCCTCCATCATCAGGATTGGAGAGTAAGGCAGGCAGTAAAGCTTTTTCTGCTTGCTTCCTGCTGGTTACTTGCTTGATTTACTGTTCAACTGTGGAGGTGGAGGCAAGGCATTCCTCTGAAACATCAATGGATTTCTATGGGACTACACCATATCACATCCTAGAGATAGAAATCCTCATAGTGACTGCTGTGAAAACTGTTCTTGTGCCCTTAATAACTAGTATAAGGTTTTGTTTTAATCAAGGGAGTGTTCCACCCTTCATTCTGCAGGAAAATTCTGTCTGTCTGCATATGTATGTTGGCTAGAAGACTGTTGATTGGTTCCTTCATCCTTATAAAGTAGTTTCACTTTTTGTGTTTTTTTTAATTTAGATTACATTAGTTGAAGCAAAAATGTATTTTTGTGACAGAAAATGTTGGAAATTTGGTTTGGTTCCGGTGGAAGTAAACTTGTGAATTGTAATGATTAATGTGGATGTTAAAAGTTGCACACTCTTTAGACATTAATCATATTACCACTTAGTTTATAATAGCCAGGCACTTGCTGCACCCACTATGTTGTGGCTGATGAAATTAGCTTTGCATGCTAGGATCTGTGTTTCATTGAAGATTAACATTTGATTCTTTTCTCAAATTCTCCGTTGCAGAGCAAGTTCAGTTGTCGTTCCCGTGCTTGGATGGAAGTTCCTATGGATGCTACTGGACATCCACGTGCTCGGATACGTCTGAACCATACAGTGAATCCAGGCGAGATTGTTGACAGATCAAGCTTCAAGGAATGGTGTAAAGATCACATGGAAATTAAGGTCAATGACTTAAGTTTGGACCTCAGTATGAGCACTGTGGCAGGTCTGGCTGATCTGGTTGAGGATGAAGTGATTCCTCAACCATTTCCCATGCAAGTGAGTTACCAATGTACAACCATGTCTGTAATTCTGATATTTCATGCTCTAATAGCGATAACTATGAAAATTGATATCTCATGGGATGTAATGATGATTACCAACATTCACTCCTTCACCCTGAAGATGAAGGCTGTATTTTCTTCTGAAACGTCTATAATAATCCATCAGACTTGATGCCATCACACCGCAGAATACAGTAATCTTCATATCTATAGTCATTAGTGTTAAGTGTATTAATGTCCTTAGATCTGTTGCAATCTTTGTAACTTCTTATGTAGAAGACTGTAAACCAGAATTGAAAATCGTGTATCATGCAAGGTAATAAAATGAAATTTTTTGTTCCACAGACAACCCTTCTGTGGATACATTTGTACACATGACCTACTGGGAACACTTTGAAATCATTATTTTACCTAATGGTAATACTAGAACATCTTATATACACCCTGTGATTGGAGCTCACATATTTTAAGCATTCTCTTAATTAAGATAAAATGTAGCTGCAAGAAATTTTGGGGTTCATGATTTTAATCATGGAAGATTTTTCACTTGGGAAGTGGTACATTAAATCACTAATCAGGAAGCAGAATGTCAGTTGAATCCACTCATTTTAATGAATTTGGATTGACCTGGCTATGAGGAAATGTGGAATGTAATACTATATTATATTTAAGTATCCTGTTGCACTATAGACTTCTATACGTAGTAATACAAATTCTGTCATGAATGCAACAAATTATTTGGTTGTAGATCTTTGTCTTTTCTTCCTCTACACTACATGTTTCGGCTGTAATTGGCCATCATCAGGTGTATTTTTCACTATGTAGCTGTCACACTGCACACAGTCCAAAATCTAAAACATCAGCCTGTCAGTATTGTTTAAAATCTCCCCAACACACGTTCATCAATTTGATTTTAGAATTCCAGTTTAAAATTTAAAATTTCTAAAATTTAAAGTTCAAAATTTAAAGTTTTAAATACCAGGGACACCTGCTCTCGTCTACTTGTGCTGCAGCAGCTTTTTCTTGTTTTCAGTACCATTCATGTATTATCTGTAATACACAAATATTTGTATTACTATCCTATGTTCCTACGTTATTCTTATATGTTTCAATACTGTTGTGTGTACTTACTCTGTGCAGGCTCCCTGTGTATGTGTCGCTGCTCATCTTTAATACATTTGCCATCTGGTTGTTGTGTGTTTATGTTATTAAGTGTAAGAGAAGGAAGGGGTAGTGGGAGAGGGGGGATACTGTTAGTCTGTATAGATCTCGTATATTGTTTGAAATATGGGATTGTGTGTTTCTATGTGTGTCATTCATGTGGAGGCCCTTCTTACTTACTTTGTATATATGGAATTTCTCTAGTGTATTCAAATGTCTACCCTTCTTTCCCATTGTTACAACTTCCATTATGTCTGTTATTGTTGCGTATGAATGTCCCGTATGTAGTATGTCATTTGAGTATCCAGAATTGCTATTATTATTTCTAATATCATGTATATGTTCCTTATATCTGTTTAAATGTTCAGCCCATTTGTCCAATGTACTTTAATGGGCAATCTGCACATTTCATCTGGTATATGTCACTTTTATTGTATTTATCCAATTGTGGTTTATGTTTAAGTATATTTTCAATTGTGTTCCGTGTGCGAATGCTACCTTCATCCGTGTGTCCTTGAAAAGTTTCGTGATGTTCCATACTTCTTTTGTACTATATGTGAATATGGCCCATTTTGTTTTTTGGTGTTGTTCGTCGTCATGTGTGTTTGGTTTCTGTTTTCATCTTGTCTGATTTGATCTGTTAATTATGTTTGTGCCATATCCGTTGTTATGTAGTATGTTTTTAATGGTGTTCTTCTCTATCTGTTTTTCTTTTTCTGTTATTGGGTATGTGTAGAATCTATTTATTAGATAATTAATACCTGACAATTTGTGCTCAAATGGATGGCATGAACTGTTAGGTATTATGATGTCTGTCTGTGTGGGTTTTCTATATATTGCAAATTGCAACCTATCTTCTTATGATGTATTGTTATATCTAGAAAATTAATAGATTTTTATTGTTCTTTCTCAATGGTGAAGTTTATAGTTGGTTGCAATTCGTTAATTTCATTAAGAGTGTGTTCTATGTTTGTTATTTTTTCATCATATATTATTAATATGTCATCAACATATCTAAAGTAAGCCACTATTTGTTGTTTTACTAGAATGGGATATATATTTGTGTATGTTGATCCAGAGGTCCCGGTTCAATTCCCGGTGCTACCAGATTTTTTCGGAGAAGTAGTGGGTCTGGAACGGGGTCCACTCAGCCTCATGATGATAATTGAGGAGCTATTTNATGTTCTATGTTATTTTTTCATCATAGATTATTAATATGTTATCGACATATCTAAAGTAAGCCACTATTTGTTGTTTTACTAGTATGGGATATATTTGTGTATGTTCCATATATTGTATATATGTTTCT